AAGGAAAAACTGTCTGCCGTCAGTGAGCAGACATCTTGTCCTCAGTGAAACAATTGCATTGGGTGATGTTTCTCCTTTAGTGTTTTCCGGTTCCATCGATGAGTTCTCCCCTTCGAGACGTCGCGCGGCGGCCTCGTCGCAGGCACAGCGCCAGTCGGTGCCATGGCAAGCGGGGCCGAGGTTGACTGTCTCGGGGGTCTCGATGGCAAACGTTGGCGTCGTCGTCGTCTGCCTGGCGCGGGAAACGATCCCCTGCTGCAGTGCGCAGACACTCGCCGAATAATAATAAAACTACGATTAAAAATAATAAGAATTATAATCCTAATCGTAATTATGATATTACCAAGACTAGTAGTAACAACAATGATAACAATGATAGTAGACGAATCATGTGACATACAGATAGTTGTCGCAAGAAGAAGACAACATAACATCATAACAATAATTAACAGAAGATAGCGAAGCGGCGGCGAAAACGCACGGCCACCGAGAAGGCGGCGCCGTCGCCAGCTGGCGCGCGGAGTCCTCCCGCGGGGGGCGGCATGCAAGATGGGCCTCGCTGGCTATGATCACGTCAGGGGCAAAAGAAAACGGCGCGTGCGTCGGCGGCGATCATCCGATCCCGGAGGTAGCTGAGAGGTGGACAAATGTTGGGGTGCAGGGCCACGCAGATATAGTTGTCGCCGGCGCCCGCGGGAACCCATGCGCGGCCGTCGGTCTGTGTGTGTGTGGCCAGCGTGGGTGGCGCGCTCTTCGCCAGCCTCGATACTCGAGCGCGCGGTGAATATTTTGGTCGTCGGTCCATGCTTTCCCTTCCATGTTGGCAAGAGCCTTGATGAGGTACAGCGCAGTCGAGTTTGACTGGAGAGGACACGCGAGAGGACACAAGACCCTTCCGAGGGTCACATTGCGATAGGAATGTAGAAGGCATGGGTCGCGAAACACAGGACACAAGGGTAACCTTGATTGATTTGGCAGGATCGACCTATGAATCAAACTCGAGTGCATCGGCGGGTAAGCCTGAGTGCACGGTACCCGTCGGTCGGAAGAAGTGGGTAGAAACACAAAATGGGAAGGCGTTGGAAGTAGATTGGGTTTCCGCCCGTACCCTGGAGACGAAGGAAAAAGGAAAAACACTCGATGCTTGAAGTAGGAAGGCGCCTAAGAATAGATCGGAATCTGGGCATTCACAAATACATTCTTCCAACGACAGGTGGGTAGGGGCCTCCTTCCACGTGAGGGCCACGAGGGGTCCGCAGCTGCGGGTGGGCAGCGGCGCCTGTACGTCGCAAGCCGACCACTTGACCACTTGAGCGCAGTGTGGGGGGGGGGCACTCGAGGCTCTGGGCGTGCCATGGGACCTATGTACATTTAGCGTTGCCGCTGTGGAGAAAAACCTGGCGTGTGGGCTCCTCGAGGCGACTCTGGTGCCGGCTGCGGTGGTCGTCGCAAACGCGTGGCATGCATGCCAGCGTGGCGCGGCGCTGCGGCGACCTGCTGACTGTGGAGGTGGGGATGCAGAAGCCGCCGAACTCGAGGGCCACGTGCACCTGCAGCTGCCGGACTTGCCCTCGGGGTGGACCCGCCTTCCTCGGGCCTGGGAGGTCGGGAACCGTGCCTCACCTGCGGAGCGCTGGGGATCCTGGCGGTCGCTGCTGGGCACGCGGCCGACCCAAGAGGAAACCCTGAACCCAAACTGCTGGTCCAACAGCAAGAGGAGACTCGTCGCGGTCGAAGCACCGGTGGGCTGCACCGCGGCGCCCCGAATCCAGACACGGGCGACGGAAAAACGGGGCCTCACGGGAGATGGCGCGGCGAGCTCACGCGGTGCCTCACGCAGGCCGCCCGCGCGGCACACCACATCGGAAGCGAGGGCACTCGCGCGCGACCTCGCGCGCAGCTGCTTGGGCGCCAAGGCCGGTGCCAACGGCCCCGCTTGCCTGGCGTCGCTCGCATGCCGACGCCTCGCCTCTGCCTCCGCCGCCCTCCGCCGGCGGAGCCCGCCGGGCCGCTCCGCCTCCCGCCCAGCCCTCCGGCGCCGCGACGGTCCTCGCAGTGTGGCCCCACGGAGGCGCGGACCCTTGCCCCGGGACCCGGCGGCGACGGCAGGGGCGGATAGCCCCCATGGGGGCGGGCAGTGCCGGGAGACATCGCCGAAGACATGGACCCTCGGCGCCCCTGGACACACGTGTTGCCCCCTCCCCCCTCCCTGGGCCATTCGGCCCCTGTCGCCGCCTCCAGAGGGCCGGCTTGGCATCCCGAGCCGTCCTTCCGCGGCCCCCGAGGCCCCGCGAGGGCCCCAGGCCTGGGCGCAGACCCAGAGATCGTCGTGACTTTGTTCCATGCGGGCGCCCCCAGAAGTCTCGACCCATTCCCCGGGACCGGTTTCTCACCTTGGGCTGTTTTTTGACGGTCCAGGGGCCCGGGCTAGGGCCCCTCGAGGCCGAAAAGCAGCGAAAAGACTCCGTCCTGATTTCTTCGGTGCGTTGGACCTCTGGGGAGAGAGGGGTCCCCGGCCAGCAGGCCGCCGTCGTGACCTCCCCGTGACCGCGAGGAGGCGCGGGGGAGCCTCCCTTCAGCTCCCCGCCGAGGGCGCCACGCGCCCGAGGCGAGGGGCCCCCCTCGGGGCGCGCCCGCGGAGGCGAGGGCTCGTGGCAGGCTGCGGGCCCGGGCCATCGCTCGGACGTCCATTCCCTGTGTTTTTCCCCACATCCAAAGTGGGGTTTTTGTTTTCTCTGGACACCCCGCGCAGGAACAGGAACACACACACACACACCCACTCACACTCACTCACACTCTCTCATCATCAACCTCATCAGCATCATCGATGATGCTCTCTCACATGCTTAGTCACTCACATACTCATCATCATCACTCGCACTCTCTCACACGCTCATGAACATCAGCATCATCATCATCGGCATCGGCATCATCCTCATTCAAACATCATCATCGCCACCACCACTCACAATCAATCATCATCCTCTTCACCACTCATCTTCACCACCACTCATCATCCTCATCCTCATCATCGTTGAGTAAATTGTGAGGAAGTCTCAGGCGGGAGCCCCCTCCCTATGGGGCCCGCAGATCATGTTGGTAATCCGAGCGGGTCATCGGAATCCTGTAACTGTCGTCACTTTTGAGCTCCCCAGGCCTGAAAATGGAGGAAGTCTCAGGCGGGAGCCTCGTCTGTGAGTGAATTGGGAGGAAGTCTCAGGCGGGAGCTCCCTCCCTATGGGGCCCGCAGATCATGTTGGTAATCCGAGCGGGTCATCGGAACCCTGTAACTGTCGTCACTTTTGGGCTCCTCAAGCCTGAATTTGGAGGAAGTCTCAGGCGGGAGCCTCGTCTGTGAGTAAATTGTGAGGAAGTCTCAGGCGGGAGCCCCCTCCCTATGGGGCCCGCGCAGATCACGTTGGTAATCCGAGCGGGTCATCGGAATCTTGTAGCTGTCCTCATTTTTGAACTCCCCAGGCTTGAAAATGGAGGAAGTCTCAGGCGGGAGCCTCGTCTGTGAGTGAATTGGGGGGAAGTCTCAGGCGGGAGCTCCCTCCCTATGGGGCCCGCAGATCATGTTGGTAATCAGAGCGGGTCATCGGAATCCTGTAACTGTCGTCACTTTTGGGCTCCTCAAGCCTGAATTTGGAGGAAGTCTCAGGCGGGAGCTTCGTCTGTGAGTGAATTCTGAGGAAGGCTCAGCGGGAGCCCCCTCCCTATGGGGCCCGCAGATCATGTTGGTAATCCGAGCGGGTCATCGGAACCTTGTAACTGTCGTCACTTTTGGGCTCGTCAAGCCTGAACTTGGAGGAAGTCTCAGGCGGGAGCCTCGTCTCTGAGTCTCAGGCGGGAGCTCCCTCCCTATGGGGCCCGCAGATCATGTTGGTAATCCGAGCGGGTCATCGGAACCCTGTAACTGTCGTCACTTTTGGGCTCCTCAAGCCTGAATATGGAGGAAGTCTCAGGCGGTTTTGTCCAGGGCGGAGGCGAAGCAGCTCGCGGCAGAGCTGGGTTTCGTGCTGCCTTCCGCCTGAGCGCGGCTGCGCCTCGCTCGAAGCCCGCGGGGTTGTCCCAACGGCTTGGTCTTGCGCGCCAGCGGCTCGCGGGGTTGTCCCGACAGCCTGGCCCGCGGGGTTGTCCCAACGGCTGCGCGACGTGACCAGTAGAGAACGCGCCTGTGCTGGCCGTGGCGGCGACGGCGCCGAGGAACATCGACATGCGCGCTCATGCAACAGGAAGGGGAGGAGGTGGCGGGGCGCGGAACAAACAGGGGGGCGAGGATGGGGACAACGTAAGGAGTGGAAGGGGGGCCCGCGCCAAGGCGACAGGAAATATACGCAGAAGAGACAGCCAGGACGCCTCACCAACCACGAGGACGACGGTGATGGTTTTTTCCAGATTCGCCCAGAGGATTCTTATGTGGGGTTCTTCCGTCGGAGTAATTTTTCGGTTTCGTGCGTGGCTCTTTCGCCAACTCATCAAGGATGCTCCTCGATGGCCCTCGCCGAAGGACAAATGCCCACGTCCGAGCGATGCCAGGGGCCCTGGCGGTGCTGCGGGCGGAGCGGCCGCTTGGCGGCGCGCAGCGGGGGCAAGGCTTCTTCCGGGCCGGGCGAAAGGGGGGGATAGCAAAAGGGGGGGGGTGAGAATCAGCTCGCACGTAGCTGATGTTCCCGGCGCCTCCCGGCGCCGGAGGCGGCTACGTATCGATCGAGGAATGGGCCCCTCGGTGGGGCCGAAACCAGCTGCACGCAGCAGATTTCGTAACCCCCCCTTTCCCAATCCCCCCTTTCGTCTGGCCCGATTCTTACGAGGGGGCCCGCTAATTCTCAGAAGGCCCCGGCCCTACATCTGCAGACGAGGCCAGCGCCTTCTAAGAAGCACCCCTGCTTCTAAGAAGCCTTCCCCCCGCCCCATACCCCCCCCGACAGAGATCCGACGTCGTGATTTTTCCATACGGGGTCCCCAGAAGTCTCGACCCATTCCCCCCGGACCAGTTTCTCACCTTGAGCCGTTTCTTGACGGTCCCGGGGCCCGGCGAGGGCCCCTCGAGGCCGAAAGCAGCGAAAAACCTCCGTCCTGACGTTTTCGATGCCCTGGATCTCTGGGTCTGCAAGTGGCCGAGGCAATGGTGCTGCAGGCGGAGCTGCCGCGGTGCTCCCACGCGCGGCTCGTGGCCTGCGGGCGGGGCGGTGGCGAGACCCAACGTGCGCGCCCGGCGGGCACGCGAGCGGAGACGCGGGGCGCGCCGGGGAGTTCCGGGTCCACCTCGAGCTGCTCAATGTCACGTTCGACTAGCCTCAGTACTTCTTCTTCTGTGTCCTGGAGCTCGAGCTCTTCTTGCTCAGTTTCGTCCAGCCTATCTACGTCTGCGTGCGGTACCTTGAGCCAAAATGGCTACGGTACCTACGATGGAGACGCGCAGACTGGCATATGGACAGGCCAAGCGCACCACCCGATGGGTAACGCAGGGAACAAGGAGCAGCCGAAGTCAAGAATAGCCTGTGATCCAAGTACCAGTGGAGACAAGAAAGATGACTCGAGTACCCGACCAGAAGCCCAGGAAGAGCCGCAGAAGTCAGTATTAGCAGGGTTTCAGACCCATGCGGCTAGTGCGCAGCTGAGGGGACCGACAGGCTCACCCACTATCAGCAGGGGCAAAGCTGGAGGCACATCTGGTAGAATGATCGCCGAAAACGATGACGGGGGCCCGATCAGACCTAATGCGTTCGCAACCAGCAGCTGCAACGGCGTCCTGAAAGCTCCCCGTCCGAGAGGAGGAGGTGGAAGCCACGAAGAAGACGTCCAATGGTCGCCAGATGATTGGCGATCCAGAGGTGGCGAGCCACCATCAGTCCCAACCAGGCCCGACGTGCGGGCCCACGCGGCCAAAGCAGCTGAATCATTTGTAGCCGCACCACCGTCTAGGGCAAGGACTCGCAGCCCTAGGATGAACCGACTGCCTGGCACTCAGTCCATACTTCGACAAGCCATGGGCGCCGGCGGAGGCGGCGGGGAGGAGCGCATGGAGGCAGCTCGGGGATCTGCACGTCGCTCCGTTCTAAGCGTGCTCATTTCTAATCCCAGAGATCCGACGTATTGAAACAATCAAGACGGAGGTTTTTCGCTACTTTCGGTCTCGAGGGGCCTTCGCCGGGCCCCAGGACGGTCAAAAAACGACTCGGGATGAGAAACCGGCCCCGGGGAATGGGTCGAGACTTCTGGGGACGCCGCATTGAAAAAATCCCGACATCGAATATCTGGGATTGTGCTCGTTTCTAATTGTTCCTGGCCCCCTAGTGGCCAGGAAGAGGCCCAGGATAGAACCATTGGAAATGAAAAGATCTTGGCCCCCGAAAAAGTAAAAGAACTTTCGAAGACTCGGACATGAACAAGAAGTACGGATGCACTTCGGGGATCTACTGACCCGGGCCAATCCAGACCCGGATCAGTCAGGCTTTGCAGGACGCTACAGGATCCCGCGGGATCCCGCGCCCAAGCCCGGGTCAGTGCGACACTGCCCCTGCAAGATCCTGCAAAATCTGGCGCTCTGACTGACCCCCGCTTGCACGGACCCCGGCTCTTGCGCACCGAACAATCCGGCTCCCCCGCCTGCCGCGTGAGGCTGGTTGGCCCAGGCGGGGCCCGGCCGTCTGCGCACCATCGATCGCTTGTGGTGTCGAGGCGTGTATGTGTGCATCTGTGACTGCCTACCAGACCACCCCGACCCAACCCGAAGACCCGAATTCGACCCGAGTTTCGGGCTGGGGGGGGGGGGGGGGGGGCGGATTCCATGTGCTTTTTCAGTGTTCCCCGACCCGCCCCCACCGGAAATGGAGGGCCAATTGAGGCCTTCGGTTTGGGTTGGGGTGGTCTTGTGGGTGATGAATCTGTACAGTCGGGGCGTTGACCTGAGGAACCCTAAGTAAGGAACGAGGCCTCTTTTTCCCAAAAATTAAACTGCGATTTCCCATGGAAATCCTAAGCAAAACCAAAGGCGAACTGCAAAACAACTAAGGAACACCGAGCCCCTCCCCAACGAAAAGGGTTCCTCGGTTTCGTGCGTGTTTTTTTTTCGCCAAACGATCAAGGATGCTCCTCGATGGTCCTCGCCGAAGGAAAAATGCACACGTCCGAGCGATGCCCAGGTCTTGTGGGTGGTGGATCTGTAGGTGGACGGAGGCCGCTCTGGCACGCACGAGGCGCGAAACCGCTGCCTGGGTGTGCACGTCCTGCTGCGCGCGGGAGCCGGATGCGTGCGCGGCTGGGGGCGATGCTGTTCTTGTCGCGACGGCGGAGTCGGGTGTGGCCAGGTGCCGCTGGATGCCCCCTTCGTCGTCCTCCTCCTCGTAGCGATGAGTAGGAGGAGGAGGAGGAGGAGGAGGAGGAGGAGGACCAGTGCAAGCCCAAGACCCAAGACTCATCCGCGATGTTGGAATCAACCCTCTCTCCAAACTCCCTCTTCATTTGCCCCTGCAAGGGTTCATTTCAACTGAGGGAGCTGCCCGTTGGGAGACAACCGTTTGAAGACCATGAAACGTGCCAGAGCATTATTCTCGGGACTCCAACGCCACGAATCAGCTTGTCTGTTGCGTCTTGACGATCCTGAATCGTGCCAGAATGCCATTCCTGGGACTTCAACACCGCGAATCAAAGTAACTGCTGCGTCCTCACAACCCGAAGTCCTTCCAAAACAAAATTTCTGGTCCGCTGATCATGGGAATCCGTGAAAGTCTTGCAGATGTTGCAAACGAATGTGGGCGGCGCTCAAGCCAGAACCACACTTTGACAAAGACCCGCCCTTCATCCGTGAAGCTCTTGTCAACTGTCATAAGAATGCGCGCGGCGCTAAGGCGAGAGCCACATTGTGAAAACCACCCGCCCTCCATTTGTGAAAACTGTTTCCAATTTCTACGCTTCAGAGTGATAAGCGGTGAGGAGGTCTCAAGCGAAACGCCCAGCCCGCCCTTTCGACCGCCCTCGGGGTGCGACAGGGGGGAGTTATTCATAAAAGAAAAAGCCAAGAACATGAGGAGGGGGATACAATCGGATTACACAGCCTTTGATGGTGGCTGGCCCCTATACGCCTGTATGGAAGCGAAAAAAGATTGCCACTGGGGGCCGTTGCTGACTGGACAGTTGCCAGTCACTGGGAGGATTTGCGTGACTTAGGATCATGGGATCGCCTGATTGTCTAGGATGATGAGGCAGCGGGTATTGAAGCAAGAGGCCGGAAAGGCAAAATAGGACAACAGGGGGGATATGAGTAGGAGGAGGAGAAGGAAGAAGGAGGAGAAGGAGGAGGAGGAAGAGAAGGAGAGGAGGAGGGAGGGGGAGGGGCATGGGAGGGGGGGGATGGAGGGCCCGGGTGGAGGGAGGTGGAGGATGGGAAAAGGGAGTGGAAGAACAAGGGAGGAGGAGCGGAGGAGGAGGAGGAGCAGGAGGACGAGCAGGAGGAGGAGGAGGAGGAGGAGGAGGAGGGGGAGGAGAAGGAGAAGAGGGAGGAGGAGGAGGGGGAGGGGGGAGGAAGAGGAGGAGGATGAGGAGGAGCAGGAGGAGGACGAGGTGGAGCGGGCCAAGGACAGGAGGAGGAGGAACGAATATTAATAATCAGATTACTCATACTATAAATAATAATGATAATACTGGTAAGACTAAGAATAAGAAACAAAGCAATCATACGAATCGAAATACTAATACGAATACACTACCAATACTAACCATGCTAATAATGGCAATACGGCTATTAACAATACGAATGCTACTCATGGTACTGAACGTAATACTAGTAACATGACTACTACTAATAATACTAATACGACTAATAAACGTACTAAAAAGTACGAATAGCAAAATCACTAATAAAAATGAACACCCCAGCATAACGAAGGCCAAGATGAGGAGGCGGAGGAGGAGGAGGAGGAGGAGGAGGAAGAGGAGGATGAGGAGGAGGAGGAGCAGGAGGAACCCAAAGGGGTGCATTAGAGGAGGAAGAGGGGGAGTAGGAGTAGGAGGCGGAGGAGGAGGAGGAGGACGAAGACCACCTCCCCCCTCAACCCCGTCGTCCTGAGGACTGGGGCGTACCAGGAGCGAGAGATGTCGCAGCGAGCCGAGAGGCACTGGCGCGCCGAGCGCCCCTGCGCTCTCCCCCTTTTACTCATCCTCCCTTTTTACGCACTCGATGTTCTCGATCTTCTCGACTCTCGACATTTTCTCCATCCCCTCTGCCCCCTCCTGCTCGCTCCTCGCTCCTGGCTCCTCCTCCTCCTCCGAGCCGCCCTCACCCCTTTCCGCATCCTCCACATCCTGCACCCCCCCTCCTCGCCAGTACCCCATCCACTACGTTCTCCCCATCCTTCCCCTTGGCGCGGGGCCGACCTCGATGTCTTCTCCGACGTCGAAGCTCTCCATCAGAACGATGCCTGGGCGGAAGTCCTCTTCGCGCGGCCGCAGTGGTGGCGGTGCGGGGGGGCGGGGGAGGCGGAAGATCTTTTGTACACCTCAGAACCACATCCAGACCTCAGAACCACATCCAGACCTCAGAACCACCTCATTGGAGGCGAGGTGAAAAGGAAGGCGGGAGGAGGCTGAGACGGAAGAGAAAAAGGAGGTAGAAGACCAGGAGGAGGAGGAGGAGGAGGAGGAGGAGGAGGAGGAGGAGGAGGAAGGAGGAAGGAGGTCGTGGAGTACACACTGGGTAGGCGCGGAGCTTTGCGGCCCCAGAGTGCCGAGGCGCCCCGCCACCCCTGCCACCCCTGCCAGACTGTTTGTACACCTCAGAACCACATGCCTATCCTTTTTTACGCCTCAGAACCACATCCACTCAGCGATGACTCCATCATTGTAGGGCGTAGGGCTGAGAGCCGCCACAGCCATGCAGCCACGCAGCGTTCGTCGGAGGAGCGCCTGGCCGGCTGCGAATTTGTACTGCTGGGCTACTGGGCGGGAGGGGGGGGGGCGGAGAGGGGCACGGAAGGGAGGCGGACGGGGAAGGGGGAGGAGACGTGCGCGCCCGAGACAGATAGGGGCGGTCCTCTTGCCAACGCCCTTCTCCCCCCAATCCTCCTCATCCTCCTCTTGTTCCTATCAATATTATTACTATCATTATGATTTTCTGATTTGTCTTCTTCTTCTTCTTCTTCCTCCTCCTCCTCCTCCTCCTCCCTCCTCTTCCTCCTCCTCCTCCCCTCCCCAGCCCCACCCTCCTCCATTTGCGGCACCGAGACGGTTTCCTTATCACCCCCACACCCACTGACCATGGCCGGGGCCGCGCCGACATGGTAGGAGGCCAGGGAAAGGAAGTGCAGCAGCGGCACCTCCTCTTCCTCCTTTTCCCCCCTCTCCTACTTATCCTCCTCCTTTTCCTCCTCTCCTCCGCTTCGGTCTGGTCAAGCAGCAGCCCTTCTGCACATCGACGAGCGTCGCCCCAAGCCAAGATTTCTTATCAGGAGTGCCTGCTGTACTCCATTTCCCACCTGAGATCGTGTTTCCACATTATGGGGGGCTCTTGCTTTCCTAGAACCTATTCTTCCTCCCTTCCTCCTTCCTCCTCCCTCCTTCCTCCTCCCTCCTCCTCCTCCTCCTCCTCTCCTCTTCTCCTCCTCCCCCTCCTCCTCCCCCTCCTCCTCCACCTCCTCCTCCATTCTTTTCCTTATAAAGAACTTCTCCCTGTCGCACTGTCGCACCCTGAGGCCGGTTTTTGGGGCGGGCTGGGTGCTTCGCCCGAGACGTCCTCACAGCTGGTGGCCGTGCAGCTTCAACAGCGACAGCAGTCTCACACATGGCGGGCGGGTCGTTTTCAACATGTGGCTCTCGCCAGAGCGCCGCGCACCTTCGTTGTTTTTTTAATTTGCAGAAGGTTCACGGAATGAGGGCGACCCGTTTTCTAGATGTGGCTCTCGCCTTAACGCCACGTGCATTCGCTGTAAGCATGCGCAAGAGTTTCACGGATTGGGGAACGGTCCGTTTTCAACATGTGGCTCTCGCCTTAGCGCCGCGCGCACTCGTTTGTAACATTTGCACGCGTTTCACGGATTCCGATGATCAGCGTATCAGAAATCGCGTTTTGGAAGGATTCAGGATTATGAGGGTGCAACAATGATGTTGGTTCGCGGTGTCGAAATCCCAAGAATGGCGTTCTGGCACGATTCAAGATCGTCAAGACGCAATCGTCATGTTGATCCGTGGCGTTGGAATCCCAAGTCGTCTTGGGTGCTTGGGGAGGCCGCGGAGACCATCAGGGAGTTTCTCGTGGACGTGCCATCCAGCTTTAGTAGGACCGAGCTCGACGACGTAGTTCAGGGCTTCCTTGAGGAGATCGAGGCCAGGTTACAGGTGTTCTCAGATGCGGCTCGTGCGGACTGGACTCAATGGGCTGAGCAGGCCTTCGCGAAAGGCGCAGGAGCGGCCCATCGTTTCTCTCGCGTGCGTGATGTGCAGGAGCTCATCCCGGAGACCGCACGCCCTCAGCCAGTCCATATGGCGGGTGACTGCACGCACGGAGTGGGAGAAGATAGGGCAGATGCGTGCACGTGAGAGAGTCGAGCTTCCCCGTGGGCACGGTGATTGGGAGCTCTTGCCTGCTTTTCCAGCATCTGCTCTTTACTACTGCACTGCACTCGGCAGGGTATTCGAATACTGTACTCTTTATTACACGTCGTGCTCCTCCCACTCCTCTGGAGAGGCCCGCCAGACCGCGTCAAGGTATTCGTGCACATGTCTATTTATTCGTTTTCGTGCCCCCCACCCCTCTAGCAGAGAGGAGTCTTCGTGCCCCTCCCACCAACCGGGGAGACCCCGCCAAACCATGGCAGGATATTCGAATACCATACTATGTATCAAGTTCGTACCCCTCACACTCCTCTGGGGAGGCCCTGTCAGACCACAGCAAGGCGTTAAAGCATCATACTTTTTATCCGGTCTCGTGCCCCTCCAACCTCTCCAAGGAGGCCCCGCCAGACCGCGACAGGGCATTCAACCATGTTATTCATCATGTTTCGTGCCCGTCCAACCCCTCCAGGGAGGCCCCGCCAGACCGCGGCAGGGCACTCGAGCACAATACTACTTCTGAGGCTTCGTGCCCCTCCCGCTCCTCCAGGGAGGCCCCGCCAGACCGCGGAAAGGGTATTCAAGCAGCAAGCTACTCATCCTGCTGCCGTCTTGGGGCCTTCTTCAGGCCCTCTTCGAACTCTCGTGGGCCATCCTGGAGCCATCTTGGAGCCATCTTGGAGAATGCGCAGACATGCGCAAACATTTAAAGTAGATTGCTTCTGAGCGCCGGTGGCCTCTTGGGGAGCTCCCTCGGAAAGTCCGACAACATCCGACCACATTTGGAGCTGTCTTCAAGCCGCAGTGGAGCCTCGAGGAAGCACACCATCTTGAACATGTCGAGCTTGCGCCACCTTCGAAACCATCTGGAACTATCTTGAGCCCTCTTGGAGGCACCATGGATCACATTGAGCCCAGGGGAGGACTGACCGCGAATGAAAGGCGTCGGAGAA